TTTGATATTATACTAGGAGGTCCTGAGAATATGCTTTCTTTTCCCCTCATCTTCAGATTGGGTAACTCGTTCATGTTTCCTTCTTTTTTTCTTTTCTTTTCTCTTTCTTCCTTCAATTTTCCTTTCTGTCTGTTTGTCTTGTTTTTTTATTTGGTTGGTTTGTTGCTTCTTTTCTTTCTTTTTTGGTTATATTAGGATAACTGAGGAGCCTCATAGTATGGTAGGCAAGAAGTGGCTCTGTCACTGGCTACACCTCCAAACCCTGGATAATTTCTGTTAATCTATCTACATGTTCACTGATCCTTGTCTTTCCTTTTAATTTGAGATAAAAGTATTTTTTCAGTTCTAGAATTTTCATTAATTCATTTTTATGTCCTTTGAATATATGATAATAGTTGTTTGAAAACATTTTTTTTTTATTGTTTTATTATTCATATGTAAATACAAGGCTTGGGTCATTTCTCCCCCCTTGCCCCCACCCCCTCCCTTACCACCCACTTCAGCCCCCTCCCTCTCCCCCCCACTCCCTCATATACCCAGCAGAAACTATTTTGCCCTTATCTTAATTTTGTTGAAGAGAGAGTATAAGCAGTAATAGGAAGGAACAAGTGGAAACATTTGTTAATCAAACATCTCAAACTAAGGATCACTAGTCATTTGACTTTTCTCTGAAAATGGGCCTTGTTTCCTGTGTCTTTGTAGAATATATCTGGACTTTGCGAATGACACATGTAGACTCTTTGGTTATATTATACCCCTCTAAAGAAGATTGACTTTTTTCTTTGGTTTTGTTCAAAGCAGGCATTTTATTTGTCTGAACCCATGTTGAGACTGCTTCCATAGGCTAGTACATTGTTTTTATAAGTATTCCTTCTTCCTCCCCCAGCACTCCTAGTATGGTGTTTAAGTTATGTAATCTATATGATGGAGCTTTTGATGTTGATATTTACATGCAGTTTAAATGTTTTATAGAATAAGTATTAAGTGCTATGGCTAGTATTGTATTGAATGTACTTACCCCGTTTTTTAATAGCATTAAGCTGAATTCTGCAAACATTTTTAGTTTGGCATTGGGTATAGGTCAGTGGTAGACATGTGCTTTTTGTAGTTTTCATCTTTGTTGTTAGTATATTAAAGTCTAAGGAATTTTTTTGTTCTTTTTAGGTGCTCTGTACCGTTACATTTGATTCATTAGAATCTAATATTAAGTCGGACCAAATTATAACAGCTATAAAGTAAGTTAGGTTTTATGTTATGTTTTATGTTATTCCAGTATGAAATTGAAGCTCATGTGGTATATTAGCAGTCATTATTATCTTTTTAACTTATATCTCTCTACTTCATTTTTTCCGTTTACATAGTCAGAAGTTAAAGGGATTTTTTTTTTTTAATGTGTGTGCTATTCTGTCTTCTAAATCATTGGTTTAGAATACAATAATGGTAAAGAATTTAATTCTATAATGTGAGTACATTTAGATTATTCTTCGTCTATTATTATTTCTTAGGACCAGTTTTCCTAGGTAACGTTGAATGAATGGGGTTTTTTTGTTTAATAAATGAGAGAACAAATACATAGTCAGAAGTCCCAATTGTAAAAATAATCTGTCCAGCCTGGACACATTTGAATGACCTGTCTCAAAAAAAAAAAACCTCTCACTCATCCTAATTCTTCATGTTTTCTTTCTGAGGCCAACTTTCATTAATACCCAATTATTTTTTAAATCTTTTTAGTTATTTCATGAAATAAATTTGTTTATGCCCTATAATAATATTGTGCCTTTTACTTATAGTGGAATAAAAGATAAAAATTTCATGCTGCACTATGAGGTAAGGTGATTTTTTTCTGAATATTTTCTTGTGAAAAAATTTTAAGATACAGCAAAATTAAAAGACCTCTACAGTGAATTCCCATATATTCAATAGCGAGTTTCTCCCATTAACATTTTTCATTTATCTGTTAAGGTTGATTTAAGGGCTATTATTTTATTGCATAAAGAAAAGATTTTGAGAGATAAGTAGTAGCTTTGTAATCAAGAACTTCTTGTGCTAAGTCACACATAGAAATTAATAGTGAAGAGAGTTATATCCATATACATGTGTGTCAAACAAAACTTGAGCTTTTCAAATACCTGAAGAGACAGATCACCTTCTCCCATCAGTTCATTTAAATGTTCTGTGTTTATTCAGTTGATTAGTTAGAAAGATCTGAGGTATTTAACATTGTTAGTTTTATGAACTCATTGTACATAATTAAGATTGTGATAGATTTTCCTTACAACTAATCCTAAAGGACCAGAAATAACACACAGTACTTTTATTACTTGAAGCACATAGCAAGGGAGGACATCATAAAACAGCCAGTCACTTCACTTTTGAATAACACTGTTGGTTGCCCAGAATCCCAACATCTCACTTTTGAGTGAAGTACATCCTTATGTCATGAGCTGTCAAGCACGTGACAATCTAAAAAGGCCAATTGTAGAAAATACAGTTTTGTCTGATCCATCATGTTCCCAGTGTACATCCAAAGATACTTTATCTTATCCATTTTTTAGAAATTTATATTTTAGTCTAGAGTGTGACTTAGTGGTTAGAGTACATGCCTGCCTAGCAAGCACAAAGCCCTGAGTTCAAACCCTAGGACCACCAAAACCAAAAAACTTTGATATTTCTTTAAGTCTCTTTTTGTTGTACATTTCTTCTCCATCGCATTCTTTGCTTTACAGTCCATCTGCTAAAGCCCCAGATCTATAGGGGCCACACAGACTGGTATTGCTGATTGTTCACCCATGGGGGTGATTTTTTTTTTTAATTTTTTTTTCTTTTATTCATATGTGTTATACAATGTTTGGGTCATTACTAACCCCTTCCCCTTGCCCCCTCCCTTTCCCCACTCCCCCTCCCTCTCTCCTCCATGGGGGTTGATTTACCATGTTTCTTTATTCTGTTGCCTGCAAATTGGCTGCTAGATCCAAGGACTTGATTCAGATTCATACTTCAGTGCTCCTTTAAAATTTTTTTTGTTTGAACTGCATTCTAGCTTTTGTGGGAACTCTTCTAATTTAAAAACAATCACTATTCATATTCCTTGAAGGTAACATATCTATCAAAAATAGTTTATAACCTCTGGCTAAAATTAAACCCTTCTCTAAAAGATCTATTTTCCTTTAATATGTACTTTTAAATCTGTTTTTCTTTAATATGTATTTTTACAGCAAAATATATTTTGCTATCATTGATAATTAAATATTACGGAAATTTCTTGGTGTCAGTGGCTCTTGCCAGCAATCCTAGCTACTTGGGAGACAGAGATTTGGGAAGACTTGGTTCAAAGCCAGCCCAGGCAAATAGTTTTTGAGACCCCCATCTCCACAATCAACAGCAAAATGGACTGGAGGTGTGACTCAAGCAGTACATATGCATCTGCTTTGTAAGCATGAAACCCTGAGTTCAAACCCCAGTACTGCCCAAAAAAAAGGAAATTTGTGGTGTAAATCCCCATAACCATCCCCTTATTCATTTACATACTACAAACAGCTGTATGTAGCAATTTGGGTATATATTTTAGATTTATACCTGACATTTTCCGTGAGTGCATGTGTGTGTGACTTTTCCATGCATATATACATGTATATGAATGTACTTTTTAAACAAGAATAAGATTCTGTAACTCATTTTATTACTTTGGTAATATATCCTGGGCATCTTTTCATGTCAGTTATATAAATTTATGTGTGTATGTTTGCTTTTTAAAGTTTCCTCCTTATGCAACTAATGAAATTGGCAAAGTCACTGGTGTAAATAGAAGAGAACTTGGGCATGGTGAGTATGACTCCATAAACTTAAGGTGTTCTTACAGGGATGTGGTATGTTTCTTGCTTATTGTTTTCTATTCTAACTTAGGTGCTCTTGCTGAGAAAGCTTTGTATCCTGTCATTCCCAGAGATTTTCCTTTCACCATAAGAATCACATCTGAAGTCCTAGAGTCAAATGGTATAGTATATTGAATATTTCTTCCCTAGTAGGAAAGACCAGACTCTCTGTTATATTCTTAACTTTTCAAGAAACTACTGTTACATTATATTTATTACTATAGAGCTGCAAACCTATTGCAGGAAAAATTGTGTTTAATTGATCAAACCCTGTCTTGAGTCTCTGTTTTAGCTAATGAATTGTTTTGAAAGTAGTATAAAACCAGCATTTCTCTTTTTGTATCTGTTATAATGGATCCAATTTGGGTTATTTATTTTTTACAAACAAATCATAGAGCAAGGCCAGCTTGGAAAGAGTAAGGGCCAAAACAGAATGCTCCATTAGACAGGGGACACCTGTTACATACCAGAGATGAATAATAAGTGGACCCCACAAAAGGAAGCTGGGCTAAAGGTCAAACTTAAATTAATATCAATCCATGAATGGGTCATGAATACCTACAGCTATTTAAGGCAGAAAGGGCCAGAGTTCTGAAAGGTGTAACAGACATAAATAAGACAGTCACAGATTTTAAGGGAAAAGTACCAAAGTAAACTCAGAATTCAAGCTGACAACTTTTCTGTTCTCTACTGAATGTGACTGGGCTTGTGGCCCAATGAGAGCCAGAACCCTGTATCTTTACCTTTTGATTAAGATGACAAAAAGCTCTTTTATGAAGTTTCTTACAATCAGAATTTCTATAGCAACTACCCAATAAAACTGTTTGTAATAATGGGAATCTTCTACATCTATGTATATAGTTGAGGATCTGAATTTATTTCAATTAATTTAAACTTAAGTAGCCACGTGTTGGCTAACAGCTACTATATTGGATCATGCAGCTCTGTAGTCAGTGGCTTAGAAGAACTTGAACTCAGTGCTTTCAAAAGTAAGGAAGAAAATACTATTGAATCTTTATAAGGAGATAACTGATAGTACAATTTCCTACAGTAAGAAATATAAAGCAAATTTTTTCTTCAATAGGGTCATCATCAATGGCATCTGCATGTGGTGGAACCTTGGCATTAATGGATGCAGGTAAAATAATTATGTCTCTGGGGGTTGGGATGTAGATCAGCAATAGAGCTCCTGAATAAAGCCCTCAGCGCTGCAAATAAGAAAAAAAGAAATTTAAAAAAAGAAAAAGAATCATGTCTCAAAATTGCAAACACTTCCTATATTTTGATTTGTACAGAATGTAAGATTTCTTTAAAATTGGATTTTAGTAAGACTCAGAATCAGATTATAGATTACCAAACCAGGCCAAAGACAAGATAGTTGCAAAGTAGAACTTCAGATATTCAGATATATGCTGGAATTCTTAATTTTAGCTAAAAGCAATACATTGAAAATTACTTACTTGCCTTTATTATCCAGTGAACTTTCTCACCTTCAAAAAGCTGCAGAGCTCCATAACTGATTCCAGTCACCAAAGAAGATTTGATCAGTAAGCAAAAGTGTTGGGACTCATAAGAGAAAGTAACCATGTAATCTTTGAGTTGGTTTTTACAAGCCATGAAAAGAACAGTGCTACTCCAAAAGTATACCCAGAATTTTAGGAAGTGGTTCAGTATAGTCCTTGTATCTGAAACACTAGAAAAATGAGTTAGCACTTATTTAGGATCTGAAAACCTATTCCTGCCTGTCACCACTGCAGCTATTTGGTAAGAAAAAAAGAGAACCTAAAGGTATTAAAAAAGCCACATAAGTAGTTCTCTGAAAAGTCCACACATTTACAGTTCAGCTATGAAAGATGGAAAGGACATAACCAGCATGAAATGAAACTATGTGTGACTGAATAACAATATTTAGAAAAATTAGAACTTTGAACACACCAAAGCAAAAAAATGCTGATGGTACTTTTTCTAGTTGTATTCAGGGGATATAAATATAGCCTGATCATTAAGGTAGCTGGTAAAATATTGTTACTATCAGGATGAGATTAATGAACCATAATTGCCAATTTTGAAAACCCATGGAAACTGGACATACCAGGGACAGAAAAAATTATTTTTGGAAGAAAAGTATTTGCCTAAATACCTTAGAAAAACAATGGTTTATGAGTATTTTAGACTGGGAGAGAGCTGTAGAAAGGAGGCAAGAGACTTATCCAAAATAAGTCATAACAAACTCATTTTTTTTTTTGAAAAAATTACTAGATTTGAAGTGAGGTGGGGAAAAGCTGTTGACACAGTGTATCTAGAGTCTATCATGACAGATTATGATATCTTTGTGTAAGTGGTACAGAAATGTAGGCCAGATAATAGGCATAGCATTTGTGACTGGTTGAAGGATGAGCAAAAGGGATGCAATCCTCAGGTCAGAAAGGAGATCTAACTTGGAATACCTAAGGATGCTTTATCCCCAACCCTGTCCCTTTTTTTCAGTGACAGCACTGGCTTGCCAGTAGAAAGGCTACTAATAAAAAGGAATGGATAACTGATTTGTTAAATAACAAAATTGATCTCTAAAACAGAAAAATCTTGCTGGAGGTGTGGTCTCATAAGCCCAAAGGCCTAAATTCAAACCCCAGTACCACCACAAAAAAAAATCTTAACATGAAAATATGAAGCCAAATATTAAAAAAAATTAAATTTGAGAAGAATGAATGTCAAATGCTGTATGAAGGGCCAAGAAAATGTATTTAGTTCAAACGTATGAGTGCTTCCTATGCTCTAAGTCAGGCACTGTCCTATGCCCCAGGGATATAGGTGACACCTATTTTATTTTTTAAACAACATGCTACCAGATCAAAGAGATGAGACAAATATGTCCATTGCGCATGGGGGTAAATAATGTACTAGACTGAGGATAATTGATTCACAGACCACTATATTTAATATAGGTTTGAAGACTGAATAGTTGGGTAGGACCAGTCATACTAGGAACAGAGCCTATATTTTACATGAAAGGAATAGCCTGTGTAAACTTAGGAAGTTAATGAAGTGGTACAGTAAGTTTCTGGACTATATTCAGAAAAACTGTTGAAGAAGCCAGGTGTGGTGATGCATGACTGTAATCCTAGTACTTGGGACTTGAGAGATAGAAACAGGAGGATCACAAGATCAAGGCCAGCCTGAGATACATAGTAAGAGCCTGTCTCAAAAAAACCTACAATAACTGGAGGGGTGCCTTTAGCCATGGGGTGCCTTAAGCCATATGGTACCTCCTTTGTACGTGTGAACCACTGAGTTCAAATCCCAGTCCCACCAAAAATAATAATATAAACAATAATTTTTAAAAAGTGAATATTCAAGAACTGTCACTGGGTCAGTGGTTCACATCTGTAATCCTAGCTACTTGGGAGGCTGAGATCAAGAGGATCAAGGTTTGAGGCCAGCCCAAAGTTCTCAAGATCCCCATCTCAACCAATAGCTTGCTGTGGTATGACACATTTCTTTCATCCCAAGTTACGTGTGAGACTGAAATCAGGAGGGTGGCAGTTCCAAGCCAGCCCAGGTAAAAACAACAAAACCCTATCTCACTGGAAAAAAAGTTGGGGTGTGGTGCCACACACCTGTCATCCCAGCAATGGTGGGGCAGCAGGCATAAAACAGGAATGTGGTCTAGGCTGGCCTACAAAAAAAAAGTGAGACTCTTACCTCCAAAATAACCTGAGCAAAAGTGCTGGTGGACACATGGCATAAGTGGTAGGTAGAGTGCCTGCCTAGCAACTGCAAAGCCCTGAAAGTTAGTATTATATGGATTACTGTTCAGCAGGTTGTTGATTATTGTATACCCTCAAAAATACTGTATTCTTAAGTAAGTTTAAGCATATCTAAGCAGGTTTATTTAACATGGGTTAAATAGATTATTTTTTTTTTTCCCATCATCCTTGAAGGATGAGAGTGGAAAGACTAGGAGATGAAGGGAGAACGGAAATCTGGGAACCCAAACAGGGGAATTGTTATCAGGACATGAAATGATGTGAATTTAGAATAAAGGAATACCAATAGGTATTTCAATTTTTAGAGGAAATGACATCTTAATAAAAAAATAAGTTCAAAGATAAACTAAACAGATTTTTGTGACTTGACAGAATACAAGAAATGAGGAAAAAAGTGTTGATTCTGGCATGTCTTAGTTGTTTTCCACAAAGATAGGGAATACAGGAGGAAAAGGATTGAGAGTAACTCAATTTTGAATGTATATGCAGTGCTTTGGGGACATTTATCTGGAAGGGTCCAGGAAGCAGTTTGGTTATACAGATTCAAGGCTTGGCAAAGAAAGCCAGGTAGGGGGAAGAGAGTAGGTACTTAGTTCATCATCGTTTTAATGGTAGCTAAAACCATGAGCGTAGGTGAGATTGCTTAGAGAGGATGAAATATCTATCACATTCCTTTATATCAAAGCAAGTTCCAAGTGATCAAAACTACTTAAAACATTTTTTAAAAATATGACTTTTATCAAAGTCTCAGAGAAGAAATGGCTTTCCCTAAAATCCAGGCACATGATTGTATGAACTTTAAGAATTCTACCCAAGCTGGGTACCTGTGACTCAAGCCTGCAATCTACGCTACTTTGGAGGCTGAGCTAGGTGGATCTTAGTTCAAGGCCAGCCTGGGTAAATAGTTCATGAGATTCCCATCTCCAAAATAACCAGAACAAAATGCACTGGAGGTGTTGGCTCAAGTGGTAGAGCAAATGGTTCAAACCCTAGTCCCACCAAAAAAACAAAATTCTACCCAGGAAAAAACAAACCAAAAAACACTATAAGCAAAGTGAACAAACTAGGAAATATATTCTAATAAAGATCTGTCTATAATAGAAGAACTCTTGTAGCACCAAAAAAGAAAAAGGAAAAAAAATGACAGGTCTTTGAAAGAGCTCTTATAAGTCAATTAGTAAAGGACTACTAACCAAGTAAAAAATATTTGAACCATACATAAAAAAACAAATCCAGTAAAAAATAATAATTTTTACTCTTTGATTGACAGAGATCAAAAGGCTTAGTAAATTAACAAGATTTGTATAATAGCATACACTCATATACTGCTAGTAAAAGTATAAAATATTACATCTTTGTAAGAAAATTTGACAGTGTAGCAAGTGACACGTATCTTTTAGCTAAACATTTCCACTTATATTTGTGGCTTATAAAAAATAAGAGAACCAGGTAATCCTAGTACTTGGTGAGACTGAGGCAGGAAGATTGTGAATTCAAGCCTAGCTTGGGATGCATAGCAAGACCCTATCTCAAAAAATGGGGTCAAAAGAAATATACACATTCTAGAGGGAGTACTGTGCAACAATTCAAAGAAATAAGGTAGAATTGCATGTGGTGTTTTACATCTATAGGCAAGGCTTATTACCAAGTAAAAGAGTCAAGGTACAGAATAATGAATGCATGTAGCATGCTCCCATAAGTAAAAAATAAAATTACATTTATGCTTATGCACAAATTTTCTGGGAGGCCGCCATGGGGAAGTGAACCAAGGAGTTCATACCTCAAGAGTTTACCAAATACATGGTTAGAAGAAGGCAAAAGGGCACAGCAACAATAATTAAACAGTTATAAAGTCTGTTATTCTTAGAGAGGGTTTTGCCAAGAATACTGATTACCTACCAGAGGTGTTTTAAGGGTCATAATTATAGGTTCAAAAAGAAATGAGGTAGTCAGAGGACCTCTTAAGACCTTTCCAACTCAGCTTTGGTGATTTAGAGAACACCATCCCCTTACATTAAAATAAGTATCAACAGAATGTCATATATATGTATTGGGCTGACATACACATTATACACAGCTTCTTTTTTCTTTTCAATTACAGGGGTTCCAATTTCCTCTGCTGTTGCAGGTGTAGCAATAGGATTGGTCACCAAAACCAATCTAGAGAAGGGTGAAATAGAAGATTATCGTTTGCTGACAGATATTCTGGCAAGTATATTCCCAGTTTCAAATAGTTCATGGTGAAGACTTACATACTTTTTTTTTTCTTTTATTCATATGTGTATCAATGTTTGGGTCATTTCTCCCCCCTTCACCCCACCCCCTTCCTTATATACTTTATTAGTATGCTTAGGAGCATGTATTTAGAAGAACGCTAGTACTTGAGGAATAGAGAGGCAGTGTTCTTTCCTCCTCAGATTTTATGTGAGTTAAAAATATGTATTATAATGTACAGATCCACAATGGCTCCTTTTAGGATAATTGTAAAAATAATGTTTATGATAAAAATATTTGTAGCTTAAAAAGTCACAAATTGGAAGCAGTAGTTAATATAGTGGATATTTCTTTATATTGATCTTAGATGACATGGTTTACCTTTAGAGCTATATTTTGAAATTCTTCTACAGTGACTATGGGTAATTTTGTTTTCGTTTAAAACTTTACCCAAATTTTTTATATTGATAAAGGGCATTGAAGATTACAATGGTGACATGGATTTCAAAATAGCCGGTACAAATAAGGGAATAACTGCATTACAGGTATTTTTAAAACCCGCTTCATTTTATTTTCATAATATTTACATAATATCATGATTCTATCTGTCTATTTATTTATTTATGGTTCCATATTAGGCTGATATTAAATTACCTGGAATACCAATAAAAATTGTGATGGAGGCCATTCAGCAAGCATCAGGTAAGCCAGTGTACCTATTTCTCCTCATTTCTGTCTAGTTTGTTAATGAAACTTATAATTCCCTTTGAGCTTATTATAAAATAATTGCTTTTAAAAATGGAATTTGATGCGTCTGTGGTTTAAGCTGAGTACTGGAACACTTTCTTAGCATGTATGAGGCCTTGGGGTTTGATCTCCAGTGCTGCCAAAAGTTGAAGGATGGAGAGATTCATAAAACTTAGCTTATATCAAAAAGTATTAGTTATTGGGCACATGACCACCCAAGTGGCAGACCAGTGAAACTTCAATTTTTATAGATTAAGCAACTTTCTAAGTTACATTTTTTTGGAGAAGGGAATGTGACTGAATTTCCAAGATAAAATATAAAGAGCTTTGATTATTAAGCTGAAGATTTTGGAGTCTTCCAGAGAATACAAGAGTGCAGCTATTTAATATCACATTTACAATGTTTTTATCTCTTCTAGTGGCAAAGAAGGAAATATTACAGATAATGAACAAAACCATTTCAAAACCTCGAGCATCTAGAAAAGCGAATGGACCTGTTGTAGGTAATACATGAAAATTATACTGGCCTCAGGATTAAAATAAACAATATATAAAAGTCTACTACTATTTTTAATTTTTTTCCATACACAAAATAAAAATATTTTATGTGGTTTTATTGCAAAATACTTAGAAGATTTATAGATGTTTATATAAATATGTTTACCTTGATTTAAACATTACACTGCATATACATGTATCAAACCTTGGGGCATGATTCAAGTGGTAGAGCACTTACCTAGCAAGCGCAAGGCCCTGAGTTTCAGTCCCCATTACCAGAAAGAAGAAAAAATTACATTGTATCCCATAAATATACAGAATTTTCATATTTTTATTTATCAGCTTAAAAATTAAATTTATAGAAAATTAAAAAATAAATTTGGGAGGATATTCTTGGACATTTTTCAGTAATTTTGATCACTTAAACTTTTTTCACAGTGAAATGTTTTAGGTTCATATATATATATTACATATAATATATATAATATATGTAATATATTATATATATTATATATATTATATAATATATAATATAATATATATATTATATATTGTATATATAATATATATTTTTATTATAAAAATAATAAATATATATTATTATATAATTATATAATATTTTTATATATAAATAATAAGTATAAATTAATATATATTATATTTTTATATATTTTTATATAATATATTTTATGTATAATATATATTTTTATTATATATTATATATAATAATATATATAATGTATAATAATATATATTATATATTATATATAAATTATATATATATTATATATATATAATTTCAATTATTTATATATATGTCTGTATTGCACCTCAGAAACTGTTCAGGTTCCACTATCAAAACGAGCAAAATTTGTTGGACCAGGTGGATATCACCTCAAAAAACTTCAGGCTCAAACAGGTAAGAGTTTTATGAAGTTAAAGATTTTTATTAAATGTTGGTCCAGAAATATGTATTTGAGAAATGAGCCAGTGGGCATACTGGCTCACACCTGAAATACCAGCTGCTCAGGAGGCAAAGATCATAGTTTAATATTAACCAGGGCAAACACATGAGATCCTTCCTGAAAAATAAGTAAAACCGGGCTGGGGGTGTGGCACAAGTCTTAGAGTGCCTGCCTCATGAGAGCAAGATCCTGAGTTCAGACTTTAGTATAGGCTGGGGGTGTAGCTCAGTGGTTAAGTGTTTGCCTAGTATGCACGAGCCCCTGAGTTCAATCCCCAGTACCACACACAAAAAAAACCCTCAATACAGCCAAAAGAAAAAAAAAAAAAACAAGTATATGATGTCTTTACTAACCTTTCTATGTACTCCTTTATAAATCAGCAAAGTGAAGTATAGAGCCAGGTGTCACTAGTACCACATGCCTAAAATCTCACCACTCAGGAGGCTGAGGCAGGAAGATCACAAGTTTGAGGCCAGCCTAGGATACATTACAAGACTGTCCCAAGAACCAATAAAAAAGGATGACCAAGAATTCATCACATTATTTAAAGAGTATATGTAGCTGGGTGCCAGTGGCTCATGCCTGTAATCCTAACTATTCAGGAGCAGAGATCAGGAGGATCACAGTTCGAAGCCATCCTGGGCAAACAGTCCCTGAAACACTATCAAGAAAAAAAAAAAAACATCACAAAAAAAGGGCTGGTGGAGTGGCTCAAGGTGTAGGCCCTGAGTTCAAGCCCCAGTACAAAAAAAAAAACAGTTTATGTAGCCAGGCACCAATGGCCCACATCTGTAATCCTAGCTATTTGGGAGGCTGAGATCAGGAGGATCGTGGCTTGAGGCCAGCCTGGGCAAATAGTTTGTGAGACCCTCTATCTCCAAAATAATCAGAGCAAAATGGACTAGGGGAATGGCCTAGGTGGTAGAGTGCCTGCTTTGCAAGCACAAAGCCCTGAGTTCAAACCCCAGTCCTACCGAAAAAACAAAAGGAGGATATGCAGAAATTGCTTTAATTTGTTTCTTCTGGAAGCAATGTTTAGGTTATCTAATACTTAGCAGCTTTAAGGCCTTTGAAGGAAAATAAGTAGAGTTGCCTTAGCAAATTGTTAAGAATGAGAAACTGACATGATTGTGTTCCTCATTCACTTGTTCACTTTAAAGGGTGAGAAGAAAAAAGGAAGCAAGGTGAGGAAAAGGTTCTAGTATAGTTTCTAGTCATAATTAGGAGAACAAAGGCATGCTTCAAAAATTAGCCCCTGTATGCTCAGATACTGGCTCACTATTGTATGCCTAGGGCCTAGAACAATGCTGGAGACCTTGCAGGAGTGCAGTGTGTACTTGTTCATAAATGAATCCCTTCATTCCCAAAGCAGTGGTTAAGCACACTATAACCCTACCCAGCTGCTTCGAGATTCCTCCCCAGTCCTCATATTGATTCTTCAGATTAGTCTACTGGAATGAACAAGTCAACTTTAATGTGCTTTAATTGTCTTCTTTTTCCCCCATTGCTGGGGGTTAAATTATCTTTTTTAAAAGGTGTAACTATAAGTCAGGTGGATGAAGAAACATTTTCCATATTTGCACCAACACCTAATGCAATGCATGAGGCAAGAGACTTCATTACTGAAATATGCAAAGATGATGTACGTATACATCTAAAAATAGTAGCCTTTTCTGTTTTTGTGTGTTTTCCTTATAAATCTTATGGCTTACTTTGCACTTACAGCAAGAGCAGCAGTTAGAATTCGGAGCAGTTTATACCGCCACAATAACTGAAATCAGGTAATATCAAGTAATATACTGTATGGGTTTTATGCTATAACTTTATTTTCTATGCCAATTTGTAGATTTTCAGTAACATGGTTCTGTGGTGGTTATCAATGTAATAGATTGTTCTAACTGAATTGTTTTCTTCAACCAAATTTTCTACCATTTTAATTTTCCAGTAAAGAATAAGCAGGCCCAAAATAGAAAAGGAAATATTCCTTTTCATTGTTATAGCTGTTTTCTTGTTTTGGAGATAGAACTACTTAATGTTTAATTAGCATATGCCTTTAAATGTGTTTCATCCTCAAAGCATTTTTTATCAGCTAAAATGACCAGGAAATTCCATTTTTTAAAAAAATTTTTCTTAATTTTTTTTTATTCACTTATTCACATGTGCATACATTGTTTGGGTCATTTCTCCCCCCCCCCCATTTTTAAAAAATTACTAAATATAACAAGAATATTCAGATCTATTTAAAATGAATAATAAGGGCTGGTAGAGTGGCTCAAAGTGGTAGAGTTCCTACCCAGCAAGCATGAGGCCCTGAGTTCAAACCTCAGTGCTGCAAAAACAACAAAAAAAGTAATAATAAAATAAAAGGTAGTGGGATAATTTGTTACATATTACAGATGAAAATTTTAAAAAAGATTTATTTTTGTAAACTAGAGAAAAGAAGAAAACTGAGATAAATTTTCCATTTTACCTAACCTCTTTTTAAATAACTACTGAATAGGTTAACATCTGTACTACTTCAAAATATTTAATGTCCTTTCAAAATTTTTGACATTCTAAAGGCTTTATCCTTCGTCTTTGGTAAATCACAAGTATTTAAATATAGGATGTATTTTCCAGTAAAAAATAAGGTTTTGGACTAAGGTCATGGGTCGGTGGTTCTGTGCTTACCTAGCATGCACAAGGCACTGGGTTTGGTCCCCAGCGCTGCAACAGAAGAAAATAAAAAGAAGTATATTTTAGGTAGTCACAGTTTGTAATTATAAGAATATATGCTAAAGTGCTTTTTTTTTTTTTTAATGTTTTTCTCCTATGAAAAACATCAGTTTTATTTGTCATTAGATATGCTTATTTTTTAACCTGGCTTCTTTCCTTTTTATAGAGACACTGGAGTAATGGTAAAACTATATCCAAATATGACCGCAGTACTACTTCATAACACACAACTTGATCAGCGAAAGGTAAGATGAAAGATTTGATTATTTTTATAACTGCATTAAAATAACCATAGTGAAATTGCCTAAATTGGTGAGAATTATGTACTTTTGTCTATCACTAGCTTTAATACAGAAAACAAAAATGGCAGAGATACTACTGACAAGAGGTTTTACTTTATCATAGATATTTTTTCCTCCTTTTAAATGTTTTGAGGTAAAACACATAGCAGTACTGATAGCCTTGTTTTCCCTAATTTTCTGACCCGCATTTCATGAGATAATTCCTGAAATGTTTACAAATTTGTTTAGTCTTTATTGTAGTTAAGTTATCTGAAAGACTAAGAATATACTATTCAAGAAAATTACGGGGGATCAGAAGGTGACAGGAGTGTCTGCTTTCCTATATATTAAAATATAAAGCTATAGAGAATAAAACAGTATATTAGTGGGCCAGAAATAGATAACCTAAGCAGGAACAACAAAGAGCTAGAAATAAACCCAGCTATAAAACAAACTGTTGGTATAATTGGCTGTCATAAAGTAGGATCCCCATGTCTCCTCCACCACACACACACACACACACACACACACACCCCTTTGGCCTCACTCTCGAACTCTCAATCCCTGGGCCTCAGTCTCCCAAGTGCCGGGATTACAGGCATGTTTCACCATCCCCAGCTTTCCACTCATTTTTATACCAAGCCCTATGTGAATTAAAGAGCTAATTTTTTTTAAAAAGTGATAGGGAAAGAAAAAAAAAATCTTGGATGGGAAGTACTAGAAGAAAATGTGGATATTTTAATAATTAGGTGTTAGGAAAAATCTTTCTCAGTATGCTATCAAAGCCAAAAATATAAATTGATAAAAATTTGTCCTCATTTTTTAAATTATGTAGCAAAAATCACAATAATAATGAAAGACTAGCAAAAAGGGGAAATGGCTTATGACAGAGATTCTATACAAATGCATTACACAACAGGGCTCGTGCACTGGCTCAAGTGGTAGAGTGCCTACCTAGCAAGCATGAGACCCTGAGTTCAAACCTCAGTGCCACAAAAAAAAAAAAAATGGATTATGGAGGAATATGAAAGTACTGAAGAATGTTTCTTAATATTTATGATCCTGATGCTTCCATATGTAGGACTTTATTCTTGAAAGAATAATTAGAACAGATGAATGTTCAGTGCAACACAACTTATTTTTCCTCAACTTTTTATTTTGAAAAATTTTAAATCTACAGAAAAGTTGAAAGAGTAATACTCTAAATGCTCATATACCTTACACTGAAATTTAATGCAACATTGAAATTTAAAACAAATGACCATCTTTAAGGGATTTAAATAAATTATATAGTTTGAATAGTCACGTCATGCTTCATTTATTGATACGAAAAGACATTCTTAATATTGAGTGAAAAATGAGCAAATATAAAACATTTTTACAAATGCAGTACACACACACTAAACATTTGAAGGGATACAAGTCGAAGGGTTTTAGACAATTTTTACTTTCTTCTGAATAGTTGTATATTATTTTAAATCTTTGTAATTAATAAAAAGACAAATACAGCTGTTGGGAAAAATGTATACTCCATGGATACTAGGTAATTATGCACAATTAATAAATTAACATGTTGTCTTTCAGATTAAACATCCCACTGCCCTAGGATTAGAAGTTGGCCAAGAAATTCAGGTATTGTGTTTGACCTTTTAGCCTTAAAGTTGTAACTTGTACTTGCACTTTTAATTATTATTTTCAAAAAGTACGTTGACAGAACATCATGATGTGTTTTATTTATATACAGTGCTTTTTTTTAACCTTAGGGTTTTTTAAACAGACGTAAGGAATTGGGACACAATTCTTTCTCAAGGAATTTACAGTTTAGCTAAAACAATGTTCATTTCTAGCGCTTCTAAAAAATTCATAAGTGTATTGCCTGTGCAGACATGAGAACTCTGATAACTGTGAGAGGGCTTGGTTATCATCTCTGAGGTGTTGAGACTTTGTTTCTCCACTACTTGACACTAAGTCTTTGAGCTTGATAAGAGTCATGTTCTTCAGGCCTAGAGTTCTGATAACAAAGTTGACCTTTTTTGTAATCCTTTATGAAAGTCACTGCTGATCTGGGTTTTTTGACTGCACCACATTCTGATCCAGTTGTACTTAATACACATGGCCTGAGTAACTAAGGCTACTAGTTTATTCCCAGTCTGCAGTCCCATTGTTCAAGTGGCTTTCAGGGAAAGAGGAGAACTAAGACATAGTATCTCTGTATTAGTTTACATCAATAGGGACTTTAAACCTGCCACATTTCTTCCTGACTTTTTTTTTCCCCCAGGGTGAAGCCAAATAAACTATGGTCCCTTAAACAGCAGTAAAAATCTGAGTAACCTAAGCATAATCCTGTAGTTTGTATCACAGATTCAAAAAGCCCTTGTCCAGAATCATTCACCATGGCTTTGGCCTTCTAATATAGGGATCTGGAGAGAATAAAAAGGCACAGATTAGCTTAACAGACAATTGTAATTGGACAACTAAGTGCCCAGTCTTTTTCCCTTTTTTTTTTTGTAATAACTACTTCATCAAATTATATTGACTGAGCCTATGACTCCATATAACAATTAGCTATGCTTTCAGTGAACAAATAAAATAATAATTGTTGCCTTGCAAATTTAACTGTCTTTTAATTTGGATGTCAGTCACTGTGGTGTAACTTTAAAATAAATCTGGTTCTTTATCACAGGTGAAATACTTTGGGCGTGATCCAGCAGATGGAAGAATGAGGCTATCTCGTAAAGTGCTTCAGTCTCCAGCTACAACTGTTGTCAAAACTCTAAATGACAGAAGCAGTATAGTAATGGGAGAACCTATTTCACAGTCATCATCTAATTCTTCCCGGTGACTTTTTTTTTTTTAAGATACTTGTAGGGTGATAGTCTATAGACCAAACTTTTAGTAGTATTCTCTAATGTATAGGTTTATATATAGTATACATATGATCTAATTATTGGTATTAAAATGTTCATTTACATGTGCCATTTTGTATTTCAAAAATAACCAATATTTGCTTATTCATATTTAGATTATAAATCAATAAATATTTATTATTAAAAGTAAGCTGATTATATATTTTAAGAGTACCCTTTGGTTCTGTAATTCTGAAATATCTGAAGAGAAACAATAGATTGCGTATGCTATATAATCTTTTTTTTTCTTATATATCTCTTTTCTTCTTTATACATAATAATGACCACTTTTCCCGTAGTCATTTTATGGCTCACCTCTTTTCCCAACAACTTTGCCTACAACTATTTCACAAACTAGAATTTGACCATCTTCAAAGTGGGGCCTATTTCTTCAGAGTAACAGCCAGATACAATGAGTTGAGAGAGCTAATCTGACTTATTTGTGAACAGTATGGTAACTTTCAACTTGGTCAAAAAACCATAACAGTGTAATAATCTTACAAAAATGGAATTATCACTAGAATGAGGCAGTACATTTTTTTAAATTACCTAAATGTGTACAAAAAACAAAATCTATCCATCAAGTAGGAATAAATCATGTTCTGAGTGTGTATATTGCCAATGTATGGATTTCTTGGTATAAGAGCTAGAGGAATCATGATTTTCAGTTACATAGATGTTTGAAATTGTCATGTATAATTATTGATGTATTAGTAGTATCTGTCAAGGTATTCATTCTCATCATTTAAAATATAATTCCACAAAAAAAGTGGTACATAATTTAAAAAGTGTCATCCTTCCATAAATCTGATTTTAAAGTATGTATAAGTTCATGATTCAGGACTAATTCATAAAATATTAAAAATTTATCTAGCCAAACCACAGATTTTTAAGATATGTGTATTTAAACCAATAAATATCTATATAAAATAGCAGATTAGATAGTGTTCATACACTATCTAATGAAACATTAAATTTGCTTTCTATATTTAATAAATTTACTTAGTTACTAGTTATTTTACTTTTAAGACATAATTCTCAGTTTAAGATACAGTTGTTAGGGGTGGAATTTCAAAATTATAGCTTCTGTTTTTCTTAAGTTTTTTTCTTTTTCAAAGGAGCTAACTGCTAGTAATTTGGAAAAATGAAGCCAGTTCTTAAATTCTACAGACCTATAGTACCACAGAATAAACATATCACTTGCTAACTACAAACCTAAAAGGATCCCCATTTCCACTTAAACAAAAGCCTACAGTTTATGTCTGAACTTTTTTTTGTTTATATCTTCATTCAAATCTTGATAGTTTTCCCTATTTTCCAATGAAGCTTTTCTATGAGAGTTATCATACATTAGTATATAATGTCTCTAATCAAATTGAGTGCCTATTTTTGGTGGGGCTTTTTTTTTTTTTTTTTTTTTTTTGGAGGCATTGGGGTTTAACTCAGGGCCTCGGGGGCTTTCTAGGCAGTTGCTCTTACCACTTGAGCTACCTGTGTGCCTGTTTTTGATAGTTAGCTCAGTATAAGTTTAGAAGGATTTTTCCTTTGTGATCTTTGACACACACATCCCATAAATTACTTTTAACATTATAGTTTTTATACAATCAACTTTTTTTGTCTTCCAAATATTTTAAATTCCTCAATCTAAGATGGAAATATGAATATTGGCATCTTTCCCAGTTCAGCTCAGCCAAACAGAGCACTCATTTTTTCAACACTTAATTATGTGCCAGGCTCTATAATGTGTGCAGGGGATATGTCAGTAAGCAAAACAGCAAGTTTCAATCTCAAGTTTCTAGTGGATAAAAACTGACAGTATATAGAACATGTAAAGTAGTGGTAGATGCTTTAAAGAAAAACACCTGATAGAGGAAGTGGTGGTAAGTTATTATTTTAGATGAAATGATCCAGAATGGCTTCTCTGAGATTTAAAATCACATCTGAATAGAGATCCAAATGTTAATTTGGTATTATATGTTTTGGGGTGGTTTTTTTTGTGGTACTGGGACTTGAACTCAGGGCCTACACCTTAAGCCACTCCACCAGCCCTTCCTGTGGTAGTATTTTTTTTTTAATTTTTTTATTATTCATATGTGCATACAATGCTTGGGTCATTTCTTCCCCCTGCCCCCACTCACTCCCTGTCCCCCCCACCCCCTCAATACCGGGCAGAAACTATTTTGCCCTTATCTCTAATTTTGTTGAAGAGAGTATAAGCAATAATATGAAGGAACAGGGTTTTTGCTAGTTGAGATAAGGATAGCTATACAGGGAGTTGACTCACATTAATTTCCTGTGCATGTGTGTTACCTTCTAGATTCTTTTTGATCTAACCTTTTCTCTAGCTCCTGGTCCCCTTCTCCTATTGGCCTCAGTTGCTTTTAAAGTATCTGCTTTAGTTTCTCTGTGTTGAGGGCAACACATGCTAACTAATTTTTTAGGTGTCTTACCTATCCTCATATCTCCTTTGTGTGCTCTCACTTTTATCTGTGGTCAAAGTTCAATCCCCTTGTGTTTGCCCTTGATCTAATGTCCGCATATGAGGGAGAACATATGATTTTTGGTCTTTTGGGCCAGGCTAACCTCACTCAAAATGATGTTCTCCAATTCCATCCATTTACCAGCAAATGATAACATTTTGTTCTTCTTCATGGCTGCATAAAATTCTATTGTGTATAGATATCTGTGGTAGTATTTTCAAGATAGGGTCTCGAGAACTGTTTTCCCAGGCTGGCTCCAAACTGAGATCCAACTGATCTCTGCCTCCTGAGTAGCGAGGTTGACAGGCCAGCCTTTTCATTTTATAAATCAATTTCACATAGTCTACTGGTCTTTTAGTCCTTAAACTTAATGTAAAACAAGAGGAGATAGCCAGTAAAAAGTAATATTTTCAAAGCATTTAAACAGGCATTTAATCAGTTTGGTTACTTCCAAGGAAGGAGTAGAACCTGGGATCATATGACAAACCTAACAGGCTTCTGCAAAATTCTGGGCTCATGAGAGTTGAGACTAAAGTGGTAGGTAGAAAGTACAAATGGTTAAGAGAATTTGCTTTAAAAACTTATTGCCTACCTATCCTAAGGTAAGCTAAAGCAAAGGGGGAAATATAACACAGGACTGTGATTTTATCTCATACCCAAGCCACACCCCCTTTGCTAGACTGGAACCAGGTCTTAGAAGTCATCAAATACTTAGTTCTCCCTCTCTTGCTTGTGAAGTCTCATGGCCTCTCTTTGTGCTTCTTTTCAAAGAACTTCTTTATACTTCTCTCTAAACTTATTTCCTCAGCGTGGGGCAAAAGATGGCTGTCCTGTAGAATACCCTTCCCTGAGGTTGAGTTCTCCTGGAGGAAAACAATGATAGGTTCACCTGGAGAAAGGGGTTAAACCTGACTAAGATCACCAGACAAAATGACAGCATGCCAAATTTAACTGGAATTTCAGAGAAATAAATGTTGCTCAGTGTAAGTATATCCCATGCAATATTTGGAATAAACATTTAAAATCACTCTTTGATTTATCATAAGTTCAAATTTAACTGTCTTACATTTTTATTTGCTAAATATGGTAACCTTAAACTGATCTAAGAAACTAGTCAGAGAATAACCAGGAGCCTATTCTAGATAATAAACTATTTAGAAAAGGCAGACCGAATGGGTAACAAGATATTGAAGAGCAATTATGGCAAGATAATAGATAGAAGAGGGTATGGATAAATGTGGAAGAGAGAGAAGCAGTAGGCTGATAATTTTTAGCCTGAGGATTGTGAGGAGAATAGGATCTATAACATGAGTGGGAAATTTAGAGAGGCAAAATAGCTTGGAAGAGAAAGATGTCTCCACTTGTTAAAATATGAGTATGAAGTTAATATTGAGGTGAGCGTCCTACAAAGAAGTCGAGGAATAATGACTTTTGATGAAGTAATATTTAAAGCAATCTGTCTTCCCAAAGTCTGTCTGAGGAGTAACCCACTGGATATCCAGAGAGTGCAGACAGCCTGGGGAGTCTGACATGCACTTAGGCTCAAGAGTTGTGTATGCAAAACTTTCCCTCCAGAGAAATATCTCTCCAAGACAGAGATATTTTCTCTGGGTTAAAAATACACCTTGTCCACATCATTACCCATTATCAGGCACTTAAGGTTGTGAATATTATCACAATTCAAATATATTTCCTGAGGTCCCTTATTTAAAAAAAAACATGAATCCAGTTTTGAATTTTTTTCTCATGCACCTGCTCCATGTAAGCCATTGTACTGCCCTTTAGTGTACTGGCGAAGAGTCTTCACACACGACTAATGTAATCAAAACCCAAGCACGTTTTAACCGGCCCACTGATACCTGATGACTACAAGTCCCAAGATGCACCGCAGAGTCAACACGTGTGCCTCGCGTTTCCACCTGGGTTGACGGGTTGTGTGTAGAAAACCAGCAGCTCAACGAGCCGAAGGGCTGTCATTCCAGACGAATAACGGGACTGAAGTGCACGATCTGCCACGACGGCCTGGCGGTGACTTGTATCCACGGCGCCACGTGTGACGGAATTCTGCCTTCACTTACTCAATGCGCACGGCAGGAAAGTCAGGAAACGCCCACCAGAGGAACTGAGGCATCCTCCGGCGGTTAGGAAGGTAGCTCGCCCTTGCCTCCCCTTACCTGCAGGTGTCTCTTCCGGCACCGGGTTTTCGTGATTGGAAACTGCTTTCTGTGGCCAGCTACTAGAGCCAACGGCAACACACTCTGGCGGGAAACAGGAAATCGTCAGCACACTTTCGTAGGACGTTCAGGCCGCGGATAGAAGCTCAGCTGTAACCGATTCTATAACGAATTTTAGAGGGATTCGGTTCGGCTCAACGTTCTCTCTTCACAGTTAAACTTACTCTCTCAGGCTAACGGTGTTCTCCATGAAGGAACGCGAGCACATTTCCTTGCTCGTTGCTCCGGGTTAGTTCTGTTCGAAGACTTGTACTGCCCAGGTGGGTTTGCTTCTCCCTCTGAGCCAGGTCCAGCGCTCGTCACTCGCGAAGGTGTCAACAGCGATCCTGCCAT